CCGCCGCGCCCGGCGCCCCCGTCGCGGGCGCGCCCGCGCCGACGGACGCGGTGGCGGACGCGGTGGCTGTGCAGTACCACTGCGCGCTGAACTTCAACCTCGGGGGATCCATCAAGAAGAACGTGACAGTGCTGCGTGTCGCGGAGGACGGGCCGCTGAGCCCGGGCGCATTCATGTGCGCCCGCGAATGCAACAAGATGGGCGCCTCGTGCGCGGCGTTCGGCGTCGTGGCGGGCAGCAACTGCTACCTCATGGGCTCGGTGGGTGCGGGGCCGAGTCGGCGGCGCTCGGAGGGGTTGCCGAGGGGACGGCCTGCGGCAAGCGAGCGGTGGCGCCTTGCTTGCCCGCGCAGGCGGCGCGGCGGAGCTTGCCGCGCGGTTGGAAGCAGAGAGGGAGCCGTGAGTCAAACTTGCACCCCGCGGCTCCGACGGCGTGCCGCGCGCGTGCCGTGTGCCCCGCAGATTAACGCGTCCGCTGGCGGCGCGGACTCGTTGGTGACCGCGGTCTGCATGAAGTCGATCCAGGACTGGATGGCGTTCGGTTCTGCGCACGGGAGTGCGTGGCTGTCGACGCCGGGTTGCTGTGCCGCCGTGGGAGGGGGGCGGGGGGGCCGGTTGAGCCAGGCGACTCGAAGCCGCGGTTGCTGCTCCGGGCGCGACACAGGAGAAAAGGCGCCGGCGCCTGAATGCCAGGGGTGGGCACTGTCGGTGCGCCCCAAGCGGCCGCTCGCGCCCTGGACCTGTCTTCACGCTGCGCCGCCCGGACCCCCGCCACGCCGCCGACCCCCACAGTCGCCGTGTCGCGAGACAAGTACTACTGCATACCCACGTTTGACGTCCAGGGCTGGCCCGCCGGCCAGGGCCCGCCGCCCGCGGCCGGCTCCGACGACGCCGGGCCGCCCGCGCCGGCCAAGCCCGCCGTCACGGACTTCCCCACCAACGTGGAGCCCACCATCTGCGCGGGCCAGTGCAGCACAACCCCAGGCTGCGAGTACTTTGTGCAGACGCTGCCCGCGGGCTGCTACCTCAAGAGCCGCCCCTTCGACTCGGACTCCCCGTGAGCCTGCCGGGGCGTGCCGGGGCGTGGCGGGGCCGCTGGGGCGCACCGGGGCCGTCGGGGCGCGCTGGGGGTGCTGAGGCGTGCCAGGGCCGCTGGTTCATGGCAGGGCGGCAGTGACACCGGCGCCCTGACAAGTCGGGTCATCGAACTGCCTGCTTGGGGGTCGTTGCCCCCGGCATGCATACCAGCGACACTGCACCAACGACGACCCCGCTGCTGGCTGCCCGCGGCGGCGCCGCGCACCCGCCTCACCAGGTTTGGCTCCACCGGCCCGAGCAAGTCGGTCGACGTCTCCTGCTTCCGCGGCGAGGAGGCCTGGACGCGCGCCGGCGCCATCCTGACCGCCGCGCTGCCGCAGCAGCCCGTGCTCTTCAGCGGCGGCGGCGTGCTGACGGCCGCCGTCGCGGCAGGCGGCGCGGGCGCGGGCGCGGGCGCGGGCGCGGCGGCGGGCGCGGGCAACGCGACGGCGCTGACGTACTACTGCGTGCGGGAGTATGGACTCAACGGCACCGTGCTGTCAAACATCACTGTCGGGCCGGGTGCGAGGCATGCGCGTGCGCACGCGACAGGCCGGGCGCAATGCGAGCGGATGTGCTGTGAGGCAAGGGCCTTGGGGCTGGGGAGCGGGGCCCGGTGGTGCAGCACAGGGATGGTGCCTATCTACACCTTGGGGCCACAGCAGAGCGGGCTGCTGCCTCACAGGCGTCCGTTCACGAAGCGCAGAGCTCCTGGCCCCGGACTTTTCCCCTTTTCTCACCAAACCCTGGCTCCCGTTCCAACGTGCATGCTGCCCCTGGCGGGTCCCTGCGCCCAACGCCCCTCAGGCGACCTCGGGACGGTCGCGTGCGCCGCCGCCTGCGATCAGGCCGGCGCGGGCTGCGCCGCCCACATCACCGACGCGACCGGCGCGTGCACCCTGCTGCGGGACTACCAGCTCAACACCTCCACGCCGGACAGCCTCAAGTACGCGCTGTGCTTCAAGAGCGTCAAGCAGTGGCAGGCGTTTGGGCAGCCGGACAAGCAGGGCATGTACTGGTGAGGGCGGCGGAGGCCGCGGCTGCTCGGGGCTGGGCGTCGGGCGGGCCCGCACGGGTTTTGGTCCGCCCCCTTCCCCGGCTGGCGTTTGCGCAGTGGCACCTCCAGGCGCCGTGCGCCCACCGCTTGAGCCACCACGCGGCCCCCGCCCCCCTCGCTCCGCAGCATTAAGAAGTACGACGTCGCCGGCGACGGCATCACGACGCGCGACTTTGTCACGATCACCTCCGGCGCCGGTGCTGTCGAGTTCTGCAAGGGCCAGTGCACGCAGGTGCCCGAGTGCGAGTTCGTTGTGACTCAGCTTACCAAGTGCTACCTGAAAAACAACATTCAGGGCGGGACCTACGGCAAGACGGGCGCCAGCCAGATAACGGACGCGACGTGCGTCAAGGGCGCGGACAACTGGCTCAAGTTTGCGCTGCAGGTGGGCGCGCGAGTGCGCGGGGGGAAGGCCAACGGTCGCTGCTTGCCAATGGTCGATCGAGTCGGTGGGTGACGGTTGAAGGCAGCTCAGTGAAGGTGCTGCTGCCGATTGCTAGTTGCTTGCGGCAAACGGCGTGCTCTGGCGACAGGTGGACAGGCGCTGCAGGCGCTGCCTTGCAGAGCTCAGGGCTGGACATGCGCCCGTGCTGTGCTCAACGGCACGCAGCTTGGGTTGGCAGCCGCGCGGGGCGTGCGGGCGCCCGACCTACGACCTCTGCGAGGCCACTGCACAAGCTCCCAAACGCCCATCCATCACCGCAGGTGTCCAACCAGCCGGCCGCCGGGGCCGCGTCGGCGCCGGGCGTGCCCGGGGGGGCGTCCAACGTCGGCATGATGCTGCCCGCGCGGCGCAACGCAGACGCCGCGAAGCTGGGGGTCACAAATGGGGCGCGTGGGCGCGAGCGGCGCGCGACGGGCGTGTGGGGGCCGGCGGTCGCAACGGTCGGCTGCCTGCTCGCTGGATTGTTGTTGGTTTGAGCTGCCCTCGCAGCGGCCGCGGAATCTGTTGTGCATTGTGTTGCAAAGCGCCCGTCAGCATCGCAGCAAACTCAATTTACTTTGTTGTCTTCCTTTCTTGCTGCTGTGCTCTGCTCTCTTGCGCCAGCTGCTTGGCCGCTGTCGCTGGCCGCTGCCAACACACACCGACTCACCACAAGAAACGCGCGTATCACTTGGTTTGGAGCCTGCGGCGCCCAGCCTTTAGTCAACTCTCCCTACGTCGGCGCCTGTGCGCCCGAGCTGGGGGTAACACACTGTAAGCACACGGGACTCGCGCTAATTTGCAGGGATGCAGGGGCGCGAGGAACCCCTGCTGGGGCCTGGGTGGGGGCAAAGGGGGCGTGGATCAAGTTTTTGGGAGGGGGGGCACCCACCGGGTGTCCCGATGAGTGCTCTTTGTGCGCGGGTGAGTGCAATGGTCTGCCCTTTCACACTAGGGTAAACGGGGCCAAGGCGGGGTTGGTAGGAAAGGGATGTGTCAGTGAATTGGAGCAATACCAGGGAAACGGGATATGTATAGCGAGGAAATCTTGGAAATCTCGGCGGGAGTTGAGGGGGCCGGCAACGACATAGGCATGGTCGGCGCGCGGTGTGGTGGCGCAAAGCACACTCTCATACAAGCTGCTCCGGCGCACACATCGTCAATTGAATATATTTTCTACGTTCATAGTCTGTAAATCAACAGGCACGGGCGCCGAGAGAACTGGCGCTGATAGATCGGCAGGACGGTCGAGATCCGCTTGTGAGCAGCGCCTAGAAGACTGTTGTAATAGGTTGAGAACTCACCGGAGGGCTGGCTGGCGTAGAGGAGCGAACGTGAGCGCGCTTTCGCTGATGCTCCAGAACGAAACAGGCTCTCTTGATGCTCGCGGGAATGTTGCCGTGAAAAACTTGGCTAAACAAAAGGATTAGCACAGAAGCTCGACCCGGTTCCACGTACCAAACCCCCCGAGAGCACCGTCGTGAGTGTTGTGTTATAGGGCGCCCCTCTCAGATGCCCCCTCCCGTCCCTCTGAAACGCTGCTTTCCATCTGTATAGCCCTCGGCTGGCAGCGGGGCATGGCGGACGCGGCTGCCACGATGGGCGCGCCGCCACGCCCGCTGCTGGCCCACCCTCTGTCGCCCGATGCCGGCGACCTGCCCATGGTTGATGCGCCCCTCGGAGACGACGCCCTGGTTGCGGTGGGCGCCGTAGAGGGCACAGATCTGCCCATGGACACTGCCGAGGAAGGGGCAGCTGGCGGCGCTGGCAGCGGCGCGCAGCATTCAAACGGTGCGGCCGCCCCTGCGTTGCCTGATCACGATCTATGGCGGCGGCAGTCGCAGGAGGGCGCATCCCCGGCCCCGCCGCAGCAAAGAGCGTCGCAGCAGCAGCAACAGGATGGGCCGGCGGGCCACCAACGGCGGGATTCCTTCCATCAGCAGCGGCGGCGCTCAGAAGCGGAGCAGCAGCAAAGGGAGCTGGACCCTTGGGATGCGCACGCGATGCAGGTGGGTGCCTCCTGGCGCACGTATGGCGTGACGCCAAACAATCGCTTTGCTAGACGTGTGCTTGCGCACAGCACAGGCGACGTGCGCATAGCTGATGATCCACATGGAGCAGGTTCTTTGGGCAGGGAGCGTCGTGGGTTTGAGGCTAGCCGCTTGCGCGCTGCTGCCGTCTCCTCCCGCAGCAGGACCATGAACAACAAGGGGCGGAGGAGCCGGGGCCCAGTTCACCATGCATGGGCATGCCTGTCATGCCGCTCGACGAGCGGCAGCAGGAGCAGGTGCGGCGGCACCACCAGCAGCAGCAGGGCTCAGCGGACCAGCGCCACCATCACCCGCAGCTGCAGCAGCAGCAGCAGCAAGTGGCGAGCGCATCGCCTGGGGATCAGCCGGCGCCGCAGCAGCCCAGCAACTACCATCACCACCAACAGCAGCAGCGCCTCCAGCACCACCCCGGCGAGCCAGCACACGGCCTCCCCTCGCCCCCTGCCAGCGGCGCCGGCGGCAGCGGCGCGGCCGCCGCGCCCCCCGCGGGCGGCGGCGGCGCCACCGAGGGCACCAGCGGCGGCAGCGAGCCGCCCAACAGCAGCGGCAACACGGTGGTGGGCATGCCGCTGCAGGAGTTTGCGCAGCAGTGGCAGCTCCAGCAGCAGCAGCAGCAGGCGGCCATGTATTGGTGGTGGCAGACCTGGATGGGCAGCCTGTATGGCGGGGCCGGCCCTGGCGGCCCCGGCGGCTACGGCGGCGGCATGTCTCCGGAGCAGCAGCAGGCGCACATGCAGCAGTGGCAGCAGCAGTACCACCAGCAGTGGCAGCAGCAATGGCAGCAGTGGCAGCAGCACCAGCAGGGCGGCGGGTACGGCCACCCGCACGGCCACATGCCGCCGGGCATGCCTGGGGTGTATCCGGGCGCCATGCCCGGCGGCGCATGGGGTGGCCACCACCACGGCAATGGCATGGTGCCGTCCTCCAGCGCCGGCGGCATACCAGGCCTTCCGGCTGTGGACCATTCGGCCCACCACCCACAGCACGGCGGCCCGTCTGGCGTGCCGATCGAAAGCACGGGCATGCCCCCAGGCCCCGCCCACCGCGCCGGCGCTCAGCACGTCGGGGGCGCCGGCGTCGCCGGCGGCGCGCAGGGGGTGCACCGCTTGGGCGGCGGCGGCGGTGGCGGTGGCGTTCGGCACGGCGCGACGCCCGCAGAGCGGAGCTCGGGGGACTTTCCCGTGGTGGGCCCTGCGACAGGCACGCGCTCGAAGCGCGACCGCGGCCGCGAGCGGCCGCGGGAGCGCGACCGCGAAGGCTACCCCTGGGGCGACTTCGGCGCCGCGGCCTTCGGCGCGCCGCCGCCTGCGTCCGCGGCGCCGCCCCCCGGCCGCGAGACGGCCCGGCAGGAGTCGCGCCGCGCGCGGCGCGAGCGCGAGGCGCGGGAGCAGCGGGACCGGGCGCGGGAGGCGCGCGAGGCGCGCGAGGCGCGCGAGCGCGCGGCGGCGGAGGCGCAGCGGATGCGGGAGCTTGCCCGGGAGCGGGAAATCGAGGAGCAGCTCGCCGCGGCCGCGACGGCGGCGGCGGCGCCCCGCGAGGACGACGGCGGCGACCTTCTGATGGGGGACGGCGACGGCGGCCTCGGCGGCGGCCTGGACGCGTTCTGCGACGACGGCGGCGGCGGCGACGGGGACCCGTTCGGGTTTGGGGAGGGCGGCGGCGAGGGCGAGGGCGTGGAGGGGGACGCGGCCAAGGCGGCGAAGCGCACGAAGAAGCCGGTCAAGGAGCAGAAGGTGCAGCCAGGGTTTTTTTGGGGGGGCACCGGGCAGGAGGGAGGGCGCAGGGGCGGGGCGGGGCAGGTGCTGCTGCCAGCCCGCGAGTGGGCGGGGCGAGCTGCGAGGCCGCCGTCGCTGTCGCGGCAATGGGCCAAGCGGGAGCGGGGGCGCCTGCAGCCGCAC